ATCTTGTTCCTGGACTTTCATGCTGGGAAGAGCAGCAGAGGTGACCTGACTGAACCCCCATTCCCTGACCCCTGTGCTGCTGGGGGGGAAGGCAGAGAAATCAGGAGCAAAGTTATTTGAGCCCAGGAAGAAGGGAGGGGTGGGGAGAAGGTGTTGTAAGATGTGGTTGTTCTGTCTCACTGTGATACTCAGATGAATGGCAACAAATTAAATTGATTTTTCTTCCCCAAGTTGGGTCTGTTTTGCCCGTGACCATCACTGGTGAGTGAGCCCTCCCTGTCCTCATCCTAACCCCGTGTCCCCTTTGTTGTGACTCCCATACAATCTCACTGGGGGGGAGGGGTGTGAGTGCAGGACTGCATGGTCCTTGTGTGGGTCAAACCACCACAATGGCTTAACTATTAAACATAGATTTGTTGGGATAATTCACACATCTGTGATACAGATACAGAAGATGTCTGGCAGGAAGGACAGGCAGCAATGAACTGTCTTGTCTGTCAAGAATGTACCACTTCAAATCAAGGTGGTAGGTTGACTTCTGGAAAGCCTCTGTAAAGTAATGATAAAAAGGAAGAAGAGAAAAAACACAGTCTTGATGAGAAACCACAGCAAAGTGTCTGCAGAACACTCCTTAACTAGGCAAATTAATTAATTTGTAGGTTTTACGGGGATGGTTGGGTTCTGAGCTTGTGAAATTACCCAGAGCAAAGTATGTGTTTTTGTGTGTAGGAGAGGGGATGAGTTACTTTAAAAGCACAGATATTTTTGGAAAGAGAAGCAAACACAGTGCAGAACACTTGCTAAGTTCCTGGTAAGTCTGGGGACAGCCTGTCAATATGGAAAGGGCAGAAAGAAACTAGAGGACACGTTGCTATGAGTGGAGTTTTGCCCGATAAGAAGTTGGCAGTAAGAAAGTAGAAGGGCAACGTAGGTCAGACAGACCATTAAATGAGAAGTTCCTGATGGAAGGGAAGGAAAAAGTTTCCAACTGTTGATGCTGAGAGGGTCATAACACTATGTAGCTTTTTTGCTTTGTTCATCACTTAAAAAGTTGAGTCTTCACATAGAGGGTAGAGGAGATGTAATATGGTTTTACCAAAATTTTTGGCACAATCTTGAATTATGTTGTAATGAGCAAGTCCAGGAAACATAAGCTAGTGAAAATGCAATGGGTACAAAGCTACACATGAAAACACCCTCACAGGGTAGTTCACGACGGTTATTGGTCAAACTAATTGTAGCAGTGCAACTCATAAGGTTCTCCAGAGCTCTGCTGTGGGCTCAGGTCTATACAGTATCATCACTAGTGACAACAGAGGTGGGATAGAAGACGCACATCACATTTTCAGATGATACCAAGGACAAAATAGCTGAAAACATATTGTAAGTAGAGTTCTAAGTGATTTTGACAGCTGGATGTAATAGAAGAATGAAAACCAGAAAGGACACAGTTCAATAAAGAGAAATACATTACACTAAGATAAAAATTAAGTGCTTAAATGTAGGATGAAGAACAATTGGTTCAGTTACAATTGAGGGCTGCAGTGTAAACAGTAGGAGTCAACGTTGTCACACTACAGCGATGAAAACAAACGTCACCCAAGGGAACACAGGCAGCAATGTCATGTGCAAGATATGCAAAGTGGCCTTTCCACTCTATCAAGGCCTCAGCTGGAGGTATGTGGCACTTCAAAAACTATGCAAAGCATTTGGAGAGAGACCAGAGGAGAGGGAGGAGAAATGGTCAGAGATCTTGAAAATATAACTTCAGAGAAAAGGTTGGAATCGTTTAGGGTTTTTTTATTAAAAATGAGAAAAAGCTGAGGAAAGACACAGTAACAGCATCGAAGAAGAAAGTAATAAAATGTTCTACACATCCTATGGTGAAAGCACAGGAGAACTGTACACAAGGAGGTGTTAGAGATATTAAGACTAACTTTCTAAAAGGATGAGAGTCTGAGCAATTCCAGGCTGTGGAATCTTCTTTGATAAAAACTTTCAAGAACACTTTAGACAAACATCTGCCTGGTTTGGTCCAGCATTGCAGCAGGGAAAAGGATCATGACATTTTAAGATTTCTTCTGGACATAATCATAAAATCATAGAATCATAGAATGGTTGGGGTTGGAAGGGACCTTGAAGATCATCTAGTTCCAATCCCTCTGCCATGAGCAGGGACACCTTCCACTACACATATAATGGTGAGTTCATGGATGCAAATGGCAACAGACTCTCTTTGGTGGGCTGATACGTCAACAGTTTGGATCAAAAGTTGCTTATTAAGGTCTTGAATGAGACCTCAGATACATAAGACGGATCATATAACTGTTATCTCCAAGTTTTCCTTTGTCTTTGTATTAGGCCAGAAAGATGTGATCAAGATCTTACTCTTGAATGTGAAAGCTTTGATATTAGAATTACCAGCTTTCTCTGATCTAGCCTGGGCTACAGAAAGGTGATGTATAAAATGTTGTCCTTAAGTCCATTTGGAAGCTGATGTCAATATAAAATGTCATCAACCTACTACAGCAATAAGGTATCCCACCATGTACTGGATCTCTATTAGCTTTTCACTTCATCCTGGGTTACACTGAAGACATTGCCTTTGATAATTATTCTTTTAGAATTGAATACTTCTTTTCCCACCTCAAAACTGGCTGAAGCTTCTGATCTTTAAGGCATGCTGCAGAACCATCTGTCTAAAAAAATGTAGGAGTAGAGGGTTGATACATCAGAGAGCAAGAATTAATTAGATGCTTCTTTCTTAACCCCTGCTAGATATGTATCATGGTTTCTGGGAAACCATCAGGCGTGGGGGAAATATTAGCAATCTGGTCATTATTCCTACGTGCAAGTAGTGATGTGGCAACACGTGTGTATCAGTCCCAGAAGGAGGACACACATTCAGAGCACCTCAGACTTCCTTTTGGGAGAAGGATACCTTTAACCTGATATATGCACAGAAAAGCTCTTTCACCTCTGATTTAATCTATAAAAATTGTCACTGATGCCTTTCCTAGGGAGCAAGGCACATGGCAAACCACGTGGCTTGCTACAATGGAGAAATCAGTGGTATAGAAAAGTCTGTAAAATACTCAAAAATTAAAATGGATTAAAAAATATGGTTTTTTATGCTTTCTGGCACTTCCAAATTCAATTATTTGGGAAGATCTCATAGATTACTGTATGGATTTAACCCAACATCCAGTGTCATACAGTTACAGCTCTATCACTCAGTACCACCTGCTGGAAAGAAGAATTAGTTTATCAGGATCTTATTTCAAATCATTAAGGTGCAAAAGGAAGTTAGTGGCAGCATGGCTGCAACACTGCAGTACTGTAAAGTTGGTGATAACCCTCCAAATTTTGGACATATGAAAATTTTTCACCATCTTCTCTATAAGCCTTATCTTAACTAGTAGCAGCATTAGAGGCTCACCTTGCTCCACACATAGGACAGCAGCCAGCAAGGTGACAAGAGTATTCTTCATCTCCACCAGATCCTCTCAGCCAGACTGAGAAGATGTTTGGAGGGCAGGTTATATATGTTTTGAATGGCAGCAGTTTTACAGGTTCCAAGTGGCTCACGGTTGGACATGAAATCAACCCAAGGGTGTGTAATGTGCATGTGGGAGTTCTCCATGCTAGAGCCCATGTAACAGGCTGGCACCTTGGGGACAATCCCTTTTAGCAACACATTTCTTTCTGTTCTGGTTGTAAGAGTGATGGGAAATGAGGATCTGTTCTCTTCTCCTCAGAGTTTCTTCCTTTCTTTCCTCCCAGCAGAAGCAGCAACTTCATTGATGAGATAGCAGAGCTCGGAGGCATGGGGAGATAGTCCTAGCAATGCATTTTTCTAATCCCTTTGGACTGTCAACACGTGATGTACCACAGTTCATGCCACTCATTTTCTTTAATTGTTCCACAGTACCAGAAGCTCAGACTCTCAATTGGTCTACACTGGTTTACCTCCAATAAAATCAGTGTATTTTACACTAAATTAAATTAGCTAATGGTTAGTTTAACAGAAGATTTCCCTTAAATTTTCATGTCAATCTTAATTTCTTTATCAATTTTCCATTACTTGTGGTTAATATCTCTGCTTGCTCCTCTCTTGGTTGTAATACTCAAATACGTTATACATTTCTTATTTAATGAAGTTTGACTTCTATTTCAGGGATCCTTTAGAGGGTCTGCTTTTCTCCACACCCAATAGTTTCTGGAAATCAGACCTTCATTTATGATACCACAAATTGGCATCCTGGAATTGCTGGTCTACTTTGAAAAAATCCATCTCTCAAACTGTCTCTTTTTCAATCTCTCCTCTTAAATCAATCTCTTTTTTTCTATTCCTCTGAGTTGCTCTCCTCTGAATTTCTTCAAATTTCTGTTTCTGACATTCTGGGAAATAGACCCTAATACAAGATGTATTTTGTAAGAGCTCGAGCTGCCATCTCAACGGAGCTTCTTCTAAAGGGAGATTAGTCCTGGACAGCAGGTAGTAGAATGTGCAAAGTGGAATAACACCACAGTCAGTTGCCTAGAAGGAGCCATCAGTAGGGTATTTTTCTTTGTTTCTAATATGAATCATTCCAACAGTGGATGATTTTCTTATCCATGTGAGTTTTGAGTACTTTTCAGGCTATCTTAAACAGCTCCTAGAATGACATCATCAGGTGGTGAATTCCAGAGTTGTTCAAGCCCGATGTCAAAATAGACATCCTCGTTCTTGTTTTTGGAGGTTTGTGAGGTCAGCAAGGGACATGCTGGTGATGATCAAATCAAACCTTCTGCTTTGCAGAGGGCAATTTGGTTTACTGCCCAAGTGTGTTATAAACAGATTGTTCTTCATAATTAGTGGGTGTGTCTTCTTGGTGGTATTTTGCAATGAGGGTAAAAGGAAGCAATTTTTTTTCCTTTTTTCAATCCTATTAATTATTCCATCGACTTCTGTTATATATTTTCCTTTTCTCTTCCTTTGTGAATGTAATAGTGCTCTAATTATCACCATATGCCCCTTCATGTTGACTTTGCCAACATCCAGTTGTTTCTACACGAACCTTCATGCAACGGGATGTTGGCTCACTGCAAGTCAGCTTTGTAAAGAGAGTGGTGAGGCTGAAACATCTCCAGCACTGCCAACAAGTCTGTACTAAGGAGAGAAATTTGAGTAGGAAACAAGCTCTTCTGTGTCAAACAGTTATCTGGGAGCTGTCACCAGGATATTGATGTCTTCATTAGTACCTACACATACTGCAGTGCTGGAGCATGCCCTCTTCTCAGCATCTGGAGAGCAGTAATTTTGCAGCAAATTGACTGGGTCACAGTGATTCCTTCTTTCTCAAGAGGACAGATTACAAAACTCAATGCAGTCAGAGGCAACACTTAAGCAGTCAGTATGGGGAAGATGTCTCCTGCTGCCCAGCATCACAACTTTCAGCCTGGAGGAGGGCCTGGAGCGGGCAAGTCAGGGACACCAATTGAGAAGTATAATTGAGGAAGACTAAAAAAAAAACATAAGGAAGCTGAGTCACCTCTGTAGAGTAAGATCTCATTGCTACCCATTCAGAAAAACTAAAATGGACCTCAAAATGGAGCCATGAGTTGGCTATATGATAAGAAAGCAGTAGTTAATTTTGAAAAAGGTGATGCTTTTGTCAATTTCCATGGCTTCCAGAAGCTTTTTAGACCCGCTGAGGACCTTGTTTTGATCTTTTGCATCCATCTTGTCTCTTGCTTTGTCATTGATTCACTGAGTGTTCTTCAGACCTGGTCAAATAAGCAGAGAGGAAGGGAAGAAATTTCATGTTGTGAGGGAAAAGACAGACAAATCATTTGAGGAGAGCAGAAGGCAGCATAGGTCCTTCATAATTAGTGGTGCTAGAGCCCTGAGTGAGGGAAAAGAAGGGCCAAAGTTGAACCACCTCCTCCAGGTAGCTTATTTAGGCAGTGCAGGACCCCCTTGGCTGATTCAGGTCCTGGCTTAGTGACTCAGAGCACAGAAAACTGGTCTCTTAGATAATATACAGAGAGAGAGCCAGCTACCACCCAGGAGCAATCCCAGCTGTTCGAGTGAGACATTAATCTTCCTGAGGGCCCTCCAGGCATTCCAGATGTCTCTGCAGGGCAGCTTGCCACTCTCATCCAAGGAGTATGCAACTATGAGAGCCAACAAATAAGAAACCCTGGGTGGAGGGATGTGGAATTAGGCAGCAGTATCTACGTGGGAGACGTTACATCATGATTTTTTAGGAAGACTGTCAGAGGGGAGTCTCTTCTTACACAACATTGCCAAGGGAGGGTTCACTAAGGGACCTCTCATGGTTTTAGAACCTCCTGTGCCTCAGGGCAATTGCTGCTCCCATGTCCAGATAAGGACACTTTTATGTAACTTGAGATGTGGGTCAATATTTGGCCTACAGGCATGGGTTGTGTTGTTGGGAAGTAGGGAATGCAAAACCTATGGGATCAGGGAAAATCCAGGCAAGAGGGAGGCAGGCTGGGGCCCATGGATGGAGCTGCTGCCTTAGAGATGGGACTTCTGGCTTCCCAGTGCTGTTCATAACTTCTCCATGCAACAGCCATAAGCAGACCATGAAACACTCCACAGCAGAAGCAGGCTCTAGCATGTCTTTGCATCCTTTGCCCACACATTTTTATGGCTTCCTTCAAATGCCAAGTTCCCTCCCAACCCAAAATGGAGGAACTTGCCAAGTTCAGGTAGCAAAAGGCATGAGCTTATTTTTAACCTGGATGCCAAGAGCAGGTCTGTATTCACAAGCTCATCAGGAAAAGACCTGGCACAGTATTAGCCTCACTTGGCCTTTGCCTGTGCCAACCAGTGTTGTCCCTAAGAAATCCTAAACCTGTGGACAGCCAAGGATGAAGACTACTTCAAATAGCTCAGTTATTTTCTGGGTGTGGGGCAGAATATTTCTATCCAAGGCCACAGAACACTTTTTGGCTCATTCAAGGTGTTCAAATGTGTGTGACGCTTGAATATCTCTAAAACTGGCAGGAGGGGAAGAAAGGTGAAAAGAATAGACTGGAGAGAAGAATGAAGCCAGCTCAGCTGTGGGATGGCAATGTGATAGAAGCCATGAGAACAATGGAGAGTCTCATGGCTAAAGATGAAGTATCCTTGGCCAACCTTGCATTTGCTTTGAGGAGAAAAAAATGAGCTGAGGCTCTAGCAAGAAAATAGAAGTAGGAGGTAAAGCCCAGACTAAGACTGGATAAAAAAGCCAACAAGGAAGTCTGGGAGAGAAAAAAGCCAAGGAGAGCGTAGCTGAAGGTCAGATGTGGAGGAAAGTTGGACAAGATGAGATGGGAGCAGACTGGGGTGAGCTGGAACCATGAGAACGCATTTCCTTTGCAAACCTGTTATAAAGATCCATCTGTTTCTGAGTGTTGTTGTTCCTCTGCTCTCAGCAAATACCCAGCAGAGTGAGTAAAGTTTGTAGCTGCTCTCCCTGTGCAATGACTCTACAGAGAGAAAACCAGCTGGGTGAGTTGCACCCAACTAATTACCCTGGGAGATCTTGTTGGGTTAATCCTAGTGGAGAGCTTCTTCAGCTCAGGGGAAAGCCTCCTGTGACTCATTTCAGAAGGGTTTGAGTGAGCAAATCTCTCATTCCTTGCTAAGATTATCCACAAGGAAGGTCAGTGCAGGGGAATGAGCTTCTTCAACTTTAACCCAGAGAGGAAACTTGACTAGCAAAACTAAAATATTTATTTTCAAAGTTAATATTTTGTTATAGATGAAGCTGAAATTTCCAGACTACAGCAGACACACGTTGAAAATCATCTGTCTTTACTGATGATTTTCCTTTAAGCACCATGAAAGATACTTTTCTCCCCTTTCAAAATAATCCATAATGCTTATAAAGCAATTTCCACTGGAAGATCTTAAATCAATTTAAAGAAAACTTAATGCTCAAGGTGTCTTCATGTTAAATCTTACTTTGTCCCCTCTGCAACAGCCATTTCCTTTCAGCCAACTGACCCAGAAGAGAAACTGAAAGGAAGTTAAATAGAATACAGTTTACTCTGAAATGGAGTCACAAAATGACACTTCTGTCAGTGTAGGCAAAAAAAAATAAATAAAAAGAAAAAAGAAAATGTGGGGAGAGGCTTCCTGAAGTGAATGAAAAGCAATTGCAATAATATTTTAGCATTATTTCAATTAGACTTGCAGACTAACGCCTCCACTTTTGGTGCTGCTAACATGGATGTGTTCAGCCGCTGTCCCCGACGTACCATACCACACGACAGAATAAAATAACACTTTATTGTGCCCAGCTTCTCTTTTAACAATTATAATATGAAAGGCTTCCTCAGAGCAAAATAATACAGGGCAGAAAATGTTATAAAGGGAAAAATGGTGTAAGAGAATGGCAGGGATAAAATGAAGGGGGGAGGGAAATGCTTTGAATTATTAAGGCCAATAGTAGGAGAGATGGTGACTATATGGTGCCCTTCTGCATGTGCAGGGCTCCACATCGTGCCTTTCTCTTCCAAACACCATTTTGAGGTAGGGCTGTGCTCTTATCCATTCTCATCAGAGTATGGAAAGAGCAAAACTATTTGCTGATGGGATGTGATCTTCTAGGTAGGAGAGACAGGGCATCATTCACACTGTACCGATAAGACTTTGATCCCTTGCAACTCAAAGCCAAGCAGCTCCTTTCCCCACCTCTAACCCCTTTAAAAACTCAGATGGAGGATGCAGGCAAGACTGGCCAAAACACCCAGAGCTATCATAGTGTAGCTTGTTTTCACACTGCTGGCACCACTGATGTTGCACAAGGAAGTCTCGCAGCAGCTGGTAGCAACACCAGCTATGCCGATATTCAGGTCAATTGTTGGGCAAAATGCAGAACATTTCTTGGAAATACGCTGGCTCCGGTCGTTGCCTGAAGTGTAAGAGAGAGAGAACAGGGAGAAAAGTCAGGGGGTTTTTTTGTCTTGTATATTTTTTGTACTGTACTTAACGCTGCTGGTTTTCCCTTGGACGTCGTCACACTGCAACATTATTTGTGTATATATGTGACCTATGGAGACCATCTCCAGGCCTTAAGACACCTCTGCTGTTTTCAGGGCCAGTTAAGTGAAACCTAGGGCAGGAATCTAGAGATCTAATGCATTTGTACAGTGCAAGATTTCAAGTTGTCATTGTCACAATGCCTTAGAATCATAGAATCATTGAATGTTGTGTTGGAAGGGGCACACAAGGATCATCCAGTCCAACTCCTGTCCAAGCACAGGACAATCCCAGCTTTCAGACCATGTCCCTGAGGGCCTTGGCCAAATGCTTCTGGAATCTTGTCAGGCTTGGTGCCATGAGCACCTCCCTGGGGACCCTGTTCCAGTGCTCCACCACCCTCTGCCTCAAGAACCTTTTCCTCATGGCCAGCCTCACCCTCCCCTGGCACATCTTCCTGCCATTTCCTCTGCTTCTGGCGTTGGTGACCAGAAAGAAGAGATCAGGTCTTCTTTCAGATATTACCTAATATCTAATCAGATATTACCCCTCCAGAGCACTGTCTCTTTCCGATCCCACCAGCAAGGAGATGAGACAAAGGGTTTGTGCAGATAAATCCCCTCTCTTCCAATGTCTCTCTTTCTTGAGTGTATTTCATCAGCAGTGTAGTATTGTTATGATATATTGCATCAGAGACAGGCTATCTGAGTTCCCACCTGCTGCAATCAGCCTCATCTGAACCCCTTCTTGTCATCAGAGCCTTTGAAAAGCTTCACACTTACCGACTCCTGTGGTGGAATAGGTTGTGAGACAATACTTCTCATGGTCAGAGCATTTGGTTGTACTGAGACAGTGCATGTTGGAAGTTGCATCTTTGCATGTGAAACACGTCAGAGAGAAAGCTACAAAAGAAGCACACAACACGCATTAATCACCTCCAGAAGTATCCGTAGAAGCACAAAACTGGTGGTGCTGGTCCAGATGGAGGATCTGTCAATCCCAATGGCCACAGACAGACAACCTCTTGGGTGTGTGAAACTTGGACCCATTGACTCTCCTAGACCCAAATTACTTTAAGCTCAGATTCCTGACATTGATGTGGTTTGCTCATTTAGCATCCTTCAAGGGATCTTCCTTCTGGACACTTACTTGAGCCTCCTATGAATCCATTTAAAATCTGGCATCCCCAGTGTGTTTTTGGAAAGATTTGGAAAGTCTACCACCAAGTTCTTGTGGTTTTTTTCCAACCTGGCTCCTCCAAGCCCCATTTGCTGTCCACTAATTCTTGGGTGAAAAAAGACCAGTGGATTCCTGTCCACACTCTTTTTCATCTGAAGAGTTCTGGCCTACACATCCTTCCTCAGAGCACACAGACCAACAGTTAATTCTTTAAAAATCTTTTCAAATAGAAAAAGGGAGAGACACACCTGAGAGTAACACCTCTGGCCATACTAGGTATGAATGTTTTTCCATATGTCCCCACAAAGTATCTCAAATGACCTAGATCTGCTTCTCAGTGTTTGCTGGGAAGATGGATGCTTGCATTGGTTGTTTCATTTTCAAAGCTCTCCTGTGTCGGGAGGCAATCTTAGACTTGTAGAAGACAGGGCTCAGTAAACCACCCCCTTGGCTGCAGCAGATTCCTTTTTACAGCCATTCGTGGGTGATGACTACCTAACACTACAAAGGGTGAACATCTGTAACGCTACACATCTGCAAACACCCTGCTGATGAGAATCCATGAAAACAGCTTGCAGTCAAGGAAGCTAAAGCAGTCATTCATAGCAAAAAGGTCCTTGGAGAAGGTTTCTTTGCATGATAAGAAGAATTTCCTACTCATTTGTTTATCTAGAGCAAGCACTCCTGCAGTAATGTCACCCCTCAGGGATTAGGCTCATTCTTCTCCTTTCCAGGCTTTCCCTATCTATGGCCAGTTAATACCCATCTTATTTTTCTACCAGCACTGTCTTTTGCCTTCCTTGCTCTTCCTCTCCCTCACTCTTCTCCCTTGCCCAAATTTCTTTCCTTTGTTGGTACCTTTGCTGGCAATGTCCCAATCTCATTGCTACCCTTATCATAGAATCATAGAATGGTTTGGA